CTTTTTAGCACGTAGCTATTTATTATTAGCATTATTCTTCCGACGTCTGATTTCTTTTTAATTATAAGAAATGCGTTTTTTTAAGGTACATAAACTTTTGGGATTGACTGTATAGCCAATACATCTTTAAAGAAATGCATCCGACTTGAAACCTCGCGTATGTACGGCTTTGAAAGAACTAATCGTTCCTCGGTGAGAGGTGAAAAAAAGTGAACCGATCGAATCACTCGTTTCATAATTGCCGTGTCGAAGCTCGTTACGCAACCCGAAATTGGCGCGTCCAAAAAGTTTGGCACGTCGCGATCTCCGTGCAGCATAAATTTAAAAGGCAACATAAAGTAATCACATAAGGAAAATATAAGAGAGATAAATATTTCTGTACTAGGTAAGAGAGATAAATATTCTGTAGTTTCTAACATTATATTCTACCCTGAAGGGGTTGAGATAAAAGTGACCGCATCGATTTACGATTTTCCACGAAAGTAAAAGGCGGCGACGATCGAAACGACGCACCCAAGAGAGCGATAAAAATCCCCGAAACGAAGCGAAATCCGGAAGGAAGTATCAGCAAGAAAAGATCCAGAGAGAGAGAGAGAGAGAGAGAGAGACAAGAATTTATCCGAGTACGGTCGGAGTTCTCGCGAGAGGGTGGCGAAGGGTGTCAGGGACCTGTTTATATGGGCCACGGGATTCGACTCGGTAGACTATCATCTTACTGCTCCAAGGGTTGGACCCGTTCGTACGTTACCCCGGGAGAGGGTGAGACGCGCGTGGCAAGGAATGTCACTGTCCCGAAATTACCGAAGGGATGAAAGAGGGAGAGAAACGGGAGACTATTTGTTTCCCAACGGCCAAGCTGCCGGATACACACGACTGTTTGTGCTACCAGTTAAAGAAGCTTTAATGCCCGTATTTGTTTTATCTTTTCCCTTTTTACGAAGAAATTGGAACGTCAGACTTGGATCTTATGCAAATTCACAAATTCAGTCACTATATCTGTACGTCGATAGCAGTCTGGAAAGTAATAGAAATAACAGTTTGGATAAATATTGATCGTGACTGTTCCGAGTTATAAACGAGTCGTAGATTCCGCTAGTCTTGCGTCATAATTGTCAATGAGGCTGTTCTACTGTTTCGCGGAAGAAGTCGCCTCGTGGTAGAACTATACTAAAACCTATATTAAAACTGAAAAGTCGACGTGTCGTTCGGCACGTTTTCGCGACTGAGCCTGACGCAAATCGTAGCAACGCCTGGGACGCGGGTGAGGCGTTGCGTCAGAGTATCGTCTCCCGTCCTGGGGACAGCGAAAGGGATGGCCCTCCTAAAGACTGCTCCCCCGTTTCCATAAATCCGGTCGTAAAATCCGGGACCGCGGTAAAGTCGCCGATTGAGAGTATCTTCCGCAAGAGATCGATAACAAGAGTCTACATGCGAGCAAGGGTGAAAGACAATGTCACTTACCTTGTCGAGCCCGATTAACGGTGTCCTCAGCTGAAAAGAGTTTACAGAAAAACATCGCGTAATCTGATGCCGTGGAAAAACTGAACGCGTTTACGAGAGCCGTAAAGAGGCTTCCCTTTCATTAAAGTTCACGTTACACTCTTTTTTTTAATCGAGCAGAATCGTACAACTTCTTTTCACGACAAAATGTATCTCAGTGAGCAATTGAGAAATATAAACGATATAATTCTTGAACGATAGAATTTGTTTCAAAATTTTCTGTAAATTATAAAAAATCAATTTCATCGTATAAAACGTAGACACTTCAGATTATAACATATCACATGAAATAAACGTCGGATTATATTCAACATGCAACACAGAATAAAAGCAGAACGGAAGATACTCTCCGAAGATCATGCATATGGACGGGATACAGAATGAATTCGAGATCCTACCTTAGGATGTAATTGACGCATACGACGGATTGCGGTTTTTGCTGTTTGACACAGTGGATCAAAGTGGCTTGTGTGACTACCCAGGCGTATCCACCTCGTTTGCCAAGAAATCTGTAGGCTACCGTCTCGCACTGGCCCTTGCTGAATACTGAAACAAGGGAAGCGAAGGGTTAACGGTGTCAGAACGACTCCTGCTGTACCTTCCCGTTCTCGGTGCTATATAATGCCGCGGATCGCGCACTGCGCACGCTACGCATCCTGGATGACGAAAGTTTCGCGCCGTAATCGCCAATCCCTTTCTCCCTCCCTCATCAAATTTCTAGCACGTAGCGCACGTGAAATTTCGATTGCTGATGACGAAACGTTTATGGGAATTCATTAAGTATTATATATAATTTTACTGTAACATTTCTCAATGTTCGGGAATATTGGGTGGGCCAATTAAGAATTAAACAGACTTAGACAAATTTATATCTATCGCATTTTATGATGTCATGTCAGAATGCAATAGAAATGCGATTCAATACTGTCAGTTTTCTTAAGAACTCAGTAGAATGATTTGACACTTTTGTGGAGAATTCTGATACCGTTTATTAGATCGGTTTATCAGGTTTTCTCGGTGATCTGAACGATTCTACGAAGGTTCGCATTATCACGGCTCGCAGCACAACGGATCGCACATATCGTTGGTCCCAACGCGTAAAATCGAGAAAAAATGCGGGTTTAGGTTGAAAGGCCGATCAGAGAAGCTGATGCAGGACCCTAAGATTATCGAGTATTTACACAGGCGAGTTGGACTTGTAATAAAAATTTAGGACCATAAAATTAGTTTTCATATTAAAAAAACGGTTCGAGGTATTTTACGGGTGTGTTGCATCTTGCTTTGTGATCAATTCATGTAACGCAAAACTGCATTGTAAAAAAATGAGATTGACGTGATAAGAAAATTCGAGATCATCGTGAGATGGAATTAAGTCGGTCTTAACTCACACAGAAACGTCATCCCCCTAAGAGTTCTAATACGGGATTAGTGTCCTTGAAGTTCTTTCCTTTATGGTGTCGTTCACCCGGTCCGGCAAGCCCATTCGAGCCAGAATCCCCACCCACCCACAGCCTAACTTTTCTTCCTCGACGGCTAACGTCCGATCGATGCGAGCTCACAACTTTCTTCCGTGTCAGATGCATAGCATTACGAGAAAAAGAGACTAGAATCCCGTACGAAATGAGGTCACGCGTGACGTTTAAATCCAATAACGATATAAGAGTGAAAATAAATTATTTAATCTGCTTTGTTTTCAAACTTCGATGCGGCACGGGAATCGTGCGCGTGCAAATAAAACGTTGGCGGTCAGCGTCGAAAATAGCGAGTGGGTCCCGCGAACGATTTATTCAAGTGACAGTCAATTGGCATCTACTCACGTGATTTAAAAGACTTGTCCATGGCGAAATTGTCGAGGGCGTGATAGAACTCGAAAACCGATTGTCCCATCAGCTCTTCGCTGTTCCAGCCCAGATATTCGGCCAACCTGAGACAGGCGAAACCAGATTTTTAATACTCGTACATAGAGCTTAATTCGACGCGCTTTTAAGTATTCGTTAAACATACTCACTTTTCATCGGCGTAGGTGAATTTCATACTGAGACTGTGCTTTGAGAGGAATGTTTGACGTCCCAACGGTATCTCTATGTTACTTGGATGCGGTATAGGACAACCAAGTACCACCAAAGAGACTCCTGTGTCTCGTTCAATCATTTCGTCATCACTTCTGCAATCCTCCTCGTCGGTGTTCGAATTCGATACGGGATCGCGAACGTGCGCTAATCTACCGGTGCAATGGATCACCTAACACAAAATGATGATTTTCGTATTAAGATTCAGAGTTCTGTATTAACATTAAGAAAATTCATTTGAAACGAGGATTTATCGTTTACCTTGTAAGAAGCGCTTTTCAAGTTGACTTTTCTTCCTTTCCCGGTCAGCGTGCACTTGAATCTCAGGAAGAAACTGCAAACGCGCTTCTCGGTGATCTCGGATGGTTTGGTGGACAAGTATTCACGCAATTCCTCGTGATCGCATGGGTGGCTGTACTCGTACACGCTTTGACCCAGCATGTCCATCTGCGACAAATAAGAACAGAACTTTTGATCTTTCGATATTCTTTAGCAAAAGTTTTAGTTCGTGCAATTTGAAGTTTTGATTAAATTCTCAAATAAATTATTGAATAAAAGATGCACCTGAGAGACGCCAAGATAATCGCTGACATTCTCCGAGAGGTAAATGATACTCCCGTCGTTTGAAAGCACCAACATGAACCCGTTCATTGCCTTGGTAAACAACTCGTCCATCTGATTCGTCTCGGACTTGGCCAATGGGCCTGGGACTAAAAATAATTTGAAGAAAAAATGAAAGGAAATGTGAAAGTCGTAACACGTGTTGGAAACGATTATGTTACATCAACCTATTTCGATACTCACTTGAATCGACTACCGAACGCACTTTCAAATAGGCGATGGCTAGCCTCATAACGCTGGCCTTATCAAGGTGAGCTGCTTGTTCCGGTGCCACCGGAAGGGCGGCTGCCATCTCTGTGAAAATGTCTGTCTCTTTGCTTCGTCGACATCGTGCCGCGTCACGAGATTTTTCCTTCCTCTTCTCGTTACTCCTGAGAACAATCACAAAACCCTTCGTTTCTTAAATCAGTTTTACGAACGCACAGAGTATAGAACAAACGTTTGTTTGTCCATTAAACTACGTATATACATTCGCGTAATTCTAATTCTTTATTACAAGTAATATAAAGATCACATTAGGGATTGAAATCTGCGCATGAATTGTAATGATCGAAGTGGATTACCGAAGGATCGAGAACGAGACACCTGTTCCTTTTTTTCAGACTTTCATTACGTAACTGTACATAATTGAACAGCCGCGAAATCACGACGACGAAGTTAAGCAAAAATCGTGACCCTGGGGAAAATAAGAAACTATCTCGATTGCAAAATAGCATTAATAGACCAATAATGATTTGCCATTCGTACAGGCACAATTAACCCTGCCATTTACAACTGTTACATGAGTGTAATTGGTTGTATCTGGGTGGAACGGCGCGAATCTATCGGGCAAATGGTGAGATTTACATCAAACACGTTTGGTCACGTCCCGACTATCTCGAAAGGCTGTTATCTCCTCTAGAGCTGACCTTCGAACGGTGCTTTTTTCCGTTTCTTAAAAAATTCTGTCACATTCGTTTACCTAGTTCTACTTTGTACATAAACCATGATTCTCATCGAAATCAGAGTCTTATCAAAGATTGTGCACGCGTGTGCAACGGATTACATTACGAAAACGTCTTACGACGCGTTCAGCATCGTTCCCGTATCGTCATCGTTCGCATTTTTCCCATTCCCAGCGAGATTCACTTAATTACAGTTTCGCGAGCTTAATCATTTCAATTAACGACGATAAAGAAGTTTTATCGGATCCAACGATGAAAACTGCGCGAGATACGAACATCTTTGATATTTAAATAGATAAGATCATCCCTGTTTTTCGATTCATCCCCTTTGAGTATTAAATCAACCATATGCTTCCGACCATATTAAATTCAACAAAAATACGGTTGAAATACGTCCTTCGATTCTACGTCTTTGTTTAAGTACAAAAGAAAATACGTTATAATTTTACCGACAAATTTTAGGAAAGCCTCTTGACTACCTGGCCCTTTAAATACGTTTTACGAACACCCATAAAGTCCGATGGTTTCTACCCCGGTGCCTGGCGAGCCTAGCACTTACAAATAATCCTCGAGAAGCTGCTCGTCCTCGGTGTACCCGTATTCGCAATACCCGTTCCCGAGGTTCTCGTACGCGCACGGTGGCAGAACGTTTTGCTCGTACGAATAGGTGGTATCGTACAAGGGGCAACGATCGCTCGCTGGGCACTGGAGCCATCGTTCCTCGGTGCAAAAAGCGAACGGTTGCGGGCAGCTGTTGCAAAACTGTCCGTTCAGCCACCCTTCGTCGCAAGGGAAATCCGTCCCGGTCGTCGGAAACCCAACCAATTGTTTGTCGTTCGGGTATGAGCCGTATCTCATCGGTCTGGCCCTCCTATTTGATCTGTCGACCCGCGGCAGGCAATTCGACTGAGATTTGTCGGCGTCGAAGTACAGAGCCAGGTCCTCGACGTCTATAGGGCCCAGTTGGCAATTCTTGGTACTGCCGGGCAAGCAATCCCGGAATTGGGTGCATTGGGTATCGACGAGAACCGAAGGTTCCGCGCAGGAAATAGAAACTTCATAAGGTGGCATTGTAGTGTTCGTGACTAAAGATCGGTCGTAGAAGGATCTTTCCTGCGTCGGATTGAACGGTCCGTAATTGAGGACCGGGGATTGTATCGGCTTATAGGCGAATCGGCAGGACGGCAGGGCTGGTTGCCTGGCGAACCAGTCAGAGCAACGACCCGATTCATTATCGATCGGCTGCACACGTGTCGCGGTCATCGCGCTTGATCCTTCACTAGAGAAAACACGTATTTCACGGAATACGGATATCACGCGTTTCCAGAAATTTCGATGACGTCTTAAAACGCTGGCGCCGTTCGGCCCTTCGCTCTCTTCCCGTTAGTCGACAACAGCGACGAAATAAAACTTTGGCCCGATTTTGCTTCCCCCTCCAGCATCGGTTCTCTTTTTCCTTCTCTCACTCCTTCGCTTCTGACCGCGTTCCTTTTTTATCTCCACGCGTGTTCCTCGCTTATTTCTTTTTCTATGCCGTTTCTTTCCACTCGGTAGCCACCGCGCGGCTCCGAACTGGCCTGCTCTTCCTTCGTTTTAAAGATCGACGCGTTATCTGGACAGTGGCTGGTTGTCAAACCGCATACACACGCATATACACAGAAACGGACACACTAACGTGATGCACAGCGTGGCTTCGTGCCACGATGTATCATCGGAACAGATGGAAGCCCGTGAAAGATTCCGGCCCGGTGAGCACCGCGCGACGCATTCCCGAAACGATACTTAGTCTCTTCTCTCAGAGAGAAATAATCAAATTTTCGCTCGGCGATTCGCGCGATACTAGAACCCGTGGACAGAGAGCCTTGTGTTGTCTTGCAACACTCGGTACGATGGCTATCTTCCAGCGATAACGATACTACCTATCGCGATACACGATAGACCAGTCTCCCTTGATTCCGTTCTCCAGCGAATCAAAGTCAATCTTCCAATTACATTCGCCTCCCCCCTAAACATCGAACCGACTCGGGCGAAACAAAAATTCGTCAAGAAAATATGATTTACGTCAACGGCCAGGGAATTCGTGATAATCAGATCGATTAAAGACAATGGGAGCAGGCTTACAAAGAAAAAGTGTTTACACAATTAAGATTGGATCGAATCTGCCGTTAGTAATTCAGGTGTTCCTTTTCGTGGCGAAAAACTGTACGTATTCGATACGCTTTCTCGCCAGCTCCGTGGGACCGTAGTCCGAAGGATCTAAAAGAGGAACAGGTGTCACGTGCAGATTGGCCTTGAGCAAGTGAACTACCGCGTGAATAAACGCGGAAGCGATACTCGGTCTTGACTATCGTTAATCGTCCAGTATCGTTTATGAAATAATTGAGACTAATGATAATCGTAAATACAATACTTATATAGTTTCGGTAGTTAAGATAAAAATAACATGATTCATGCAGTACATCGGTATACATGTTAAATGTGTAATTTCCATTTATTATGTACGACGTGTTCTGAATGGTCGAATACTTGTTGTGTACAGCTAGTAACAATGAAACTGAGCCAGCTCGGGTTTGTATTAGTTTCCCCTAGGAGGACAAAATTGACAACGAGTAATATGGCTGGAATTTATAGTCGTCTCTCAGTTCTCAACTGCTTGTTGTATATGTATGTGTTTCATGATACGCGATTGATGAAAAGTTTTACTTCATATTTTTTAAATTTTATTGAAGTGAGTAAGCCTACCACAATGACCGTAGATGCTTCAATGAAATTTAAAAAAATGTTAATCGTTTAAAAATACATCTTCGATTTTCATCAATCAAGTATCACGAAACTGAAATATGCAACAAGCAGTTGAAAATTAAGAAACGACTATAAATTCGGCTTTAAGAATCTGCGATTCCGATGTTCTGTATTTCCTGTTCCGACTTGACGTTCCACATTTTTACCAGCATCGCTGGGTATACAAAGTAGCCAATGACGATTTCCGTCGAAAATTCGTTCGGGCCTCTGAACTCGAGTACCGGTAAGCACTTTTAACCGTGACTCGATTAAAAGATCGAACACGGTGAAAAAGGGAGGCGGATTTTAATGGCTCTTTGTGGCGCGAATTACGGTGTCGCCTTCGTGCCGAAAATATTTATAACCTGTCCCGGTGAAATCTACGTCGCGTGTCATAAAAACGTAATCGACCCGTGGAACCGGCCTGGAATTCCTCGCCCCGAGAGCGTCCGCCCCTCCGCTCTCGCGTCGGCAGGAGGTCGTTCTCGATGCGCGAAATCGTTTTCATTCTGGCGCAAGTCAGTCAATCGCGTGTCAAGGTGAAGACCGATTTTTCATTAGAACTCGTGAATATTGATTGACGTGGTTAACGCGAAGTCCGTTGAGAATCGATTACCATTTTAATTCTACCGATCGTCGTCGAGCCTCTCGTTTCCTTTCGTTTCAGTATTTCAAACTCTCTGGATCGAACGTCGAATCTTTCGACGAGTTGCGGAAAAAAATAGCACGGCGCGACGCGGAGCCATCTCGTGGTTCTCGAGGATGTCCTGGTTGCCCTAGATCAAGTATTCGTCGTATATTTTTAAAAAGATCGGCCAGACGTGAGCCTCGGTCGATGTGATTCGTACGCGTCCGCGGAAAAAGAAAAGCCGCGGGGAAGGCGACGTATATCGGGGAAATCGAAGAAAAAAAATAGAACGCGCGATCGATGTCGAATAACAAGCGGTAGCGAATCGCTCGAGCAAAGAAAAACATCGTCGTCCGAGCGAGGAGCGAGAGAAAAAACCGCGGTGTAGTTGAACTCATCCGGAACTTAGGACAATCTCTGAGCATAGTGTACGATTTCCTTTTCTTGCCGGTCCCCAAGATCTCTTCTTGCC